TTAATTTGGACAAAACATATGTGATGATCAGAAAGCAAATGTTCAAATAATAAAAAGACACTGATTATATTTGAAGCTTGAACAATTAAAAAAAAGGTTCTAGATAACATTCCACAAGTGGCAAATTCATGAGTTACATTACTCTTTTCCAGCTGGGTTTGCATGGTTCTTAAAACTTGCAAGTATATTCAAGGACTTTCAGAATGCTGTCTCTATTGTTTAGTGCTGAAAAAAACAAGTCATATTAAAAAGAAATGGCTAAAAAGAAGAAAACAACATGAAGTTAGAAAAGAGGCCTAGATTGCCGTGTTAAAAATGCTAATAATAACAGCTAAAATTCCAGGAAAGCTCTTCAGGTTTTCCAAATTAGGTGCATCCCAACTGGGTTGGCTGTAACTCCTTTAATAATCTCAGTCAGAATTGTGGCACTGGAAAGGACACAAGGTTTTAGTTCAACCTTCTGCAATTTCAGCTACATTGTTTGCTGGTTCGCTTCCTGGTCCAATTCAAGGTGCTGGCCAGGACCTTTAGGCTTCATTATTAGCACTGTAAAAAATGATATTATCTCTTATATCTGCTAGATGTATTTTGGCAAGTCCCAGTGTTGCTTCAAAACTCAGACACCCACCTTCTGGAACATTCTCCCCCCACCTAAAGTTATGTGAGCTTCATCTCTGTTAATGTTCTGGAAATCCTCAGGACATGGTTATATCATTAAGCCTGTGAGTCCCATAGAACTGGATATACATTCAGATGACTGCATTACTGAGGTGGATATACTCTCTCCATGCCTGAGGTTGATATATTTTCATTTTAATATTTAATTTTTTGCACTGCTTTTTAATATATTTTTGATCATTTTTATACATGCACTGATACACACATTTTATACCCCCATTTAACAAATAAATGTTCAAGAAAATCAAATCATCCATGAGAGGTGTTAGTTTAGCCTCTTAAAGAAATCCAAAGCTCCATAGCTTCTGTTAGTACCCTGTTCTGTTCTCCTAGAGATTTACCTTCAAGACTTTTTCTCCTGAAACTGAAATGATCAATCCACAATGGTAATGGAAGGGCATTTATTTATTACCATTCTAACATTTCCATGCTGCCCTACTATCAAAGGCTGACATTCTCAATATGCTTTCTCCTGGAACCATGTTTTTACTATTATTTTTAATGGAAACTCACTAGGTAAAAAAAGTAGTTCTTATACATGAGGAGGGCAAACTTTCATGAGAGAAAATTTTTATGAAAGTTTTTCATAATTGTAATCTTGCCTATCTGAAAACACTAAACTGGGGAAATCCATTCTTAATGGACCAAAACCAAGCTTGCAATATACCATTTCCTTATGTAATTCACCACCCATGGTGCAACAGGCAAAATATTTGTAATTCTCTACCATTGTGAAGTTGCAAATAGCTCCTCAAATCAGCTTCTATGATTTCTTTAGTCCGCTTAATCAGGCTTGCCTTGGCCTAGTTAATGTTTCAGAAAGTTCCTGCCGCTGAAGTTGCATTTTCTGTAAGAAGTTGAAAATATTCGCCACTTAACTGCTTTTTAAACTATATCTCAAAGCAAAACAAAGTATGGCATTCATCCATCCAAACCTCAAACTGTACCTTTTCACACATGTAGCAATAATTTTATTAGAGTAACACAAATATAAAGAGAAAAGACTAATACAAAATATGGAACATGTAAAAAGTAGAGGAAAGAAGAAGAGAAATGTAAGGAGATGGGAAAAAAAGCAAATAAAAGAAAAATAATGTATAAAAGATGACTGCCCCCCCCTCCAGACAAGTATAAACTGTGGCTGTGCAGCCCTCCTTGGTGTTACTCCTGAACACTGCATGCTGGCTGACCTTTTATCCGTCACAAAATCTTTGGCGTTACAAGCACCGATCTTACATTGTTAGAGATAATGTTCTTCTGGGACAGATGGGGTGTAGCTAGGGCCAAAGGAGAATTCATCCTTGGAAATCTCATTTTATCATAAGTTTGCTGAAATATAAGATTACACGAAACATTTATTTTTGTTGTAGCAGGCTAATGGCTTTAGGGATGATTGGAGTTCTGGAATGTTCCTCAAGGAATTGCTCAGGGGATTTGGATGTTTTGATTTATAGAGCGCCATTCCTCAGAGCATTCTCATAGCAAAATTGAGCCATAAAAGCATTCTTTTCAACTAAGCTTGCTTTTTTTCTTAGCCAAGTTCAGTCTCACTGCAGTCTTTTAAATTGGGAAAATGGGGCTATAATTACAGAATATCTCTGCTGTCTCAAGGAAGTTGTAGCAATCCAAAAGAAAATAGACCTTGTGCACCCTGGAATCATGTGAAAAAATGTCAAGGCTGACTAATGAAACAGAATAGCCAAAGACAGCAGGATATTTTTCTCATTTAGGAGGAAGATATTTTTGCATTGTGAGCAATACTAAGGAGTTGCTACGATCACTGTTCAGAAACATGTGTTCATCTTGCTTCTTAAAAGAAACACAATCTGACTACAATAATTGCATCCGAAGAATTGCATCCGAAGAAACTAAGGATTCAAAATCTAAATTTTGCTGTTAAGTCACATTTCTTATGTACTATAAGATGTTCTATACCTGCTGATATTTTGTGTAATTCCTTTGCCTGGATTTGAACTTTGGATAGACAATAGTAATTTTCTTTAACTGAGTAAGCTATTTGGTATCAGTGTTATTCACAGAATAGGTAACTCACGTACTCTTCAATGTTAATTTAGTGTAAAGAGAATATACTTTAATAGAATCATCTTTGCCTGGCTTTTTTTCCACAAAGGAATTGGATGTTTATACATGATAAAGACTGATTTGATAAAGGAACTATTGTGTCTCTGGGGAAAGCTCTCTGCTAAAGGAAATCAATGAGGAACTTTGTTTGCACATCCAATTTTTCAAAAGCAGAGCAATTAATTCTTCTTCTTCTATAAGACCTAAATTATACAGCTCAACAAAATATTGATCTGATTATTCAAGGAAGGTACATTTTGAAGAATTGAAAGTAATGGCAGGTTAACTCAAGATAACTGTTTATAGGAAGGAGTTGAGAAGGGACAGAAGCTAGTTCACCTATGACAAGCCATGGTTGTCAACTTTTTCCTTTGTGAGATATAGAGTCCACCTTCCAAAGAGATGATTTAATAGCCAACCAAACGGGATGTTGGAAATGGATTGCCTCAAAGTATCTGGGGCTTTATCTGTCCAAAAGCAGAGTAAATCTCTTAAAAATAGCAAAATTGGACCAAATCTGGTGTGAAAAGAGAGGCAATTGAAAGAAAGCTGAAATTTAAAAAATGGCCCTGATCAACCCAGGGGATGCAGAAAAACACATTCTTGAAAAAAATTATGTAGTCTATGCCATTGAGAAGAGGCTTGGAATGCTCCCATTTCCTAAATTCTGGACCTCATCCCCTCTTATTTAATAATCTCAGCTGCAGAATAAAACATATTCAGCCTACTTCATATTTCCCAGTGCACATATGCAAAAGACACAAATAGAAGGGAAAGCAGAAACACAACGAAAGAAGAATAGAAGAATATAGATGCCGCCTATTTACCCACTGTTGGTAAAAGGGTGGGAAAGCATTCTAGAAGCTATGTTCATCATTCCCTCTCAACCATGTCATGTTTACATATATCCCAAACTCCTTATAGCTGCTTTAGTTACAGGTTTTGCTTTTATTTGTGAAATGTTAATAGTTTGCTTAACTGTGCCTTATTTAACAAGCTATAACTAGTTGCATTTATACAATAAAAGTGTAAAATATTGTAGTGACAGTAGTGTTCCAATATCCAAGAAGAAGAAGTGGGTCAGCCTATTCTCCAAAGGACCCTAAGGCAGAACAAGAAGCAATGGATAGAAACTAATCAAGGAGAGCAACACCTAGAATTAAGGAGAACTTTCCTGACAGTGAGAAATATTAATCAGTGGAATGGTTTGCCTTCAGAAGTTGTGGGTGCTCCGACACTGGAAATATTTAAGAAGAACTTGGACAACCATTTGTCTTAAATGGTATACTATAGGGTTTCCTGCTTGAGCAGAAGATTGTACTAGAAGACTTCCAAAGTCACTTCCAACTCTGTTATTCTGTTAATATGCTAAACCATAAATCATGATACATATAAATAAAGTCTGGGCTTACCCACCAAAATAACTACAAATAAGCAAGGCATATAATGACTTAATTTAATACATTTGGTAAACCAAGACTTAATATGACTTAATGTTATAATCATAATTAGATATCAATTAGAAACTACTCAGTAGTACTATAGTTCCTTAAGAGATTTTTGCTTGATTATGTAGTTTTCAAATCAAATGGTATATGGTGTATTTGTAATTTGATCATCCTCAAAATATTCAGGAAAAATAAAAATTGTTTGAGAAGCCAACAAGTAATTATAATACTATTTTTATTAGCTTTGATATTTTACCACTTTTATTTTTATCAGCTCTAATCCCTACACAGATCTGACAGTGCCAGATCTTGTTCTTATGCAGAAGGCTATACAAAAAGGAAAAGAAAGGTATTTTTCCTGGTGAAGGTTAGTAGTTTTTTCTTGCTGTTTACTCTTCACTTTTAAAAAATTACTACTACCCATAATATTTTCAAAGAGAACAGTCAATTGGTTCTCTTATTCAAAGATATTATGAACACAGCATTATACCCTTTATATCTATACCATCTCTTCCAATTGCTATTGCCTTGTGAATCATGTTTTATTTTTAAAAGAATACATTTGTTTTCCTTATTATATTAATGACCAATACCCTCACTTTACAAATCTAGTAAACATGCAATATTATTGCCATTAGTAGCAAGAAGTCGTTTAAATAAGAATGTGAGAAATACATTTACAATAGTGATTCAACAGCTGTCTATTATGACAAACAGCAAGTCATCTAAAGAGATACAAGAGAGATTTGCAAAGAAAATTAGCTAAGAGCCTTTAGGAGATGCCATAAACATTTATGTTTCTATTTCATTGTAGACAGGTGGCAAAATTCTTCTTGACTTTGTCTTAACCCACGGATGCTCCATTATTTCTTTCAGAGGAAGTCTCATAAAAGGTGTACGGTTAAGGACTTTAGCAATTAGATCCTTGGCTCCCTCTGATATCCAAGGAGGAAATTTAAAATTCACCTTAAAATAATTTTTTAAAAAGTTAGATTTTGTTATGAAAGCAATTATATTGTGCAAAGTTTAACTGGACCACAATGTCAATTTACCTCCTTCTCCGACTGATCTATTTTTTTTTTACTCTGTTTGACTGACACAAACTGTTGCTGCTGCTTCTCCTGGTACAAGCCTTTTCTGCTTATTGTATAAAAAACATCAGTTCAAGCACTACATGAAGCTTTAGGTGGCATGACAATAGCCACTCTATTTGTGGATGCAATCAGGGCCCATTTGCAAGTTTCATAGGGTAAGATAATCACCACATTTCCTGTTAAATCCACCAGCCTTCATCAATACAAAAGAGAGTTCATATTTTTGATCCAACCTTCTCTGAAGACCACAAAAGGGATATTACATTGAGCCACGTGTAACTTTTCTAGATCATATTTTTTGCACTCTTATTGTAAACCAATAGAAGAGAAGAGAATATTTTAGCTCAGCAGAACAGTGGAACCCTTGCTGCTCTCTGAGTTTGATAACTTTCCTGCAGGTGTTTCATGACCAAACCAGATAACAGTAGCACTGATGATGTTACTTAACAATTTGGTTGTGAAACATCTTACTGTAAATGTTCTGGACTAGCAGGCTCGTAGCCTGCAAATCTGATTGGCCCACTGAAAGCCAATCGTGATTGGTCGCCATAGACTGATGCGATTGGCTAGTAAACGGGCTGCCGCGATTGGCCCTGCCAAGAGCGGCAAACTCAAATCGCCTTCATTGGCTGCCTAGCCGCAGCCAGACCTATAAAAGGGGCTGCTGCGGCTGGGGTTAGTTGCTCAGATCTGAAGTCACAAATAAAGAGCTTTAGTTACTATCTGAGTCTTGCCTCCGTTCTTGAACCGTCCTCCCAGATATAACAGTAAAGTTTCTTAAATTCTTTCTAGGATTTTTGTCCTATGAATAGAACAAGACATATGTGAGTTCCTCCTGGCCTCTCCAATGTAATCCTCTGAATTTTAACGTACATTCATGAATAAACATAAAATCTGGCCATGAGTTTCCAGTTATTGTTGTAAGCACTATCTCATTTACAGGCCTTTGATTTGGAAGAACCTACCTCCTTTATCCGTCTGAATGTCTCCATACGGGTGGGTGCTTCAAAAGGTGCATATCCTGCAAGACACTCATAACAAAGAATGCCAACACACCACACATCAACATTTTCATCATGAGGACTTCCTTCTATCATTTCTGGAGCAAGATAATCTGTGGTGCCACATAGTGTTGTCCTCCTATTTAAAAAAGAGAAACAAGAAAAAAACAGTGTTCAAATGACTGAATTTGTGATTTCTTTTCAGACACTATTCAGAGAAAGATCCAAGTGAAATCAGAGATTCGGTGAAGCCTGGGGAAAAAAATCAAGATAACTGGTCATTTTTTTACCCACAGAAAAGGCCAAAAGTTAGCATTACTGTAGCCCAGGTATTTTGTACATATAAATGCCATTTGATCTCTAGAAACTCTGCTCTTACCGTACCATAACTGGGGAACTATTTTGACAAGAACATTTTAATTAATAAAATTATTTTATCCTACAAGCCAGTTAACAGCGTTTTAATACAGCATGCTACAGAAAGTGTAAAGCACACTGAACCAGAGCCAAGCAGCTTGAACAAATAAATCAACTATTTTCCACACAGAGAGGGTGAACTCAACTCTAAGCAAGAACTAGAGGAACAAGAAATAGAGATGAATTGGTATTCATATGTGCAAATAATTCTAGATATGATAAAGATCGTAGGACAGAAGGATTTTACAAGGAACTTACTGAATTAAATGGAATTTTGACAAGATGAGAAAGTGATTAAAATTATATGGATATTTACTTGGAGTAAAATTAGAAGAAGAACAAGTAAAAAGAACAATGATTGCTTGCGGGAGAAATTTTGGATATGGGATAGATTTAGAAAGATGGCAGAAATTATATTCTCAAAATTATAAAATAATGATGTCAACAGCATATAGAGAGAATTTGTGTAAGGTGTTTTATAGGTGGCATCTACCCCAGGCAAGAATAGCAAGGATGTTTAAGAATAAATAGGAGAAATGTTGGAAGTGTCATCAGATACCTGGATCATATTATTATTACATGTGGTGGATGCTTATGGAAGTGAGTGATACTGGATTAAAATTCATACATGGCTGGAAAAAATGACCAACAGCATACAGACTTGAAACCACAGATATTTTTATTGGGTATCTTACCTGAAGGATATAGTAGAGAATTTATATATCTGATTATAAATGTATTAACAGCAGCTAGAATTGTATTTGCTAAAAATTGGAAAAGTGAAAAAATTCCGATAGAAGAGGAGGTAACTAAGAAAATAATGGAAAGTGCAGAAATGAGTAAAATAACATTAGCAATTAGAGAGCAAGAAGAGAAAGAATATTATAAAATTTGGTATTTATTTTATCAATGGCTAGATAAGAAAATAGGGAAATAAAATATACTATAAATATAATGTAATGATATGATAAGTTAATGATATAATTGATTATAATGAAATGAATAATATGTATTAGGTCATGCAATACTTGAGATTTGCTTGAAAAGAATGATGTGAATTTTTAATTAACACTTATTAAAGTGTTAATAACAATATATGCATAGTTGATATGTATAATATGAATTATAACTTAAATGTAGAAGGGAGAGACTGCTGATATTGTGCACAAAAGATATGTACCAACCGGCACACTGTACAACGGAAAGATGGTTTTATTTGTTGCTTTATGTTTATGTTTGTTTTATGTTTGTTGTTAAAAAAAATAAAAAACAGCTGGAGAAAACAGCTGCTTCCTTACTATTACAATGAAAAGAACACAGATGTGTCCATGTAGCCACCAAAAATAGAACTTGAATTGTGAGAGACCAAGTGGACGATTGTCCACAGGAATCTGTTGGCAACAAGGATCTGTTGGCTCTATCCCTTGATCTACCAACTGTAGCTCATATTGGGATGGAGGAATTGAAGGCAAAACAGGGCCTTGGACATTAATCCAAATGCATGGATAAAGTAAAGAAGGAAACAGGTTTGAACATTCTTATTTGGATTAATTGTCTGATTTGTCATAGCCAACACACTCATATTTTAAATAAAATTTGGTTTATCTAACCTTGCGGAGAGCTGATATCTTAAAAGATCTTCATCTACACTCCAGAATTTTAAATGCTCTCCTTGTCCTTAATTTACCATGCAAAGACTTCACAGTTTCACATGAATTAAAATGAATTTCTGAATTTCGCTTATAGGCCATTTCTCCTATTTGTTTTTTCTTTACAAAGAAATGCACATCAGCAAGAGACCTACCTCAGTGAAAGAGTATGCACTGACCATCCAAAATCCGCCAACTTCAGCTCCCCTCTTAATCCTAAAAGGAGATTTTCGGGCTTGATATCTCTGTGGATCACTTTCCGAGCATGGCAGTACATCAGAGCGTCAGATATTTCTTCAATATACTGTTTCGGTACATCATGTGTTAAAATATAGCAGTTGGTAATCTCGGAGCTGGATTTCCAGCACATTAACTATAATATAGATACTACACATATATCTTTCACACCAAGGAGTTTTCTTCTCATGAGTACATACCCAGCCTCAGCCACTACAGCTGACTCAAAAGCATAAAATGGTCGATGGTATCGAAGGCTAGTGAGAGATCAAGCAGAGTGGGAATGGTTGCACTACCCCTCATCCCGCCCTCAATTATCCAGTTCTGCAATTATTGTTATCTCAGACAAATATATTATGATTACTTGTAATTAATCCAAATATGTATATATTTTAACACGTTCTTTTCTTAGATCTTGGTTCCGACAGGTTATATTCGTCCAACAGGAGAGTACTTACAGTGGCTGTTCTATTATCATCAAATCTATGGTTCTTTTGTAACTCCTTGTACAGCTCTCCCCCTGGAGCATATTCCAGCATCAGAAAAATTCTTGTCCGATCATGAAAGTAGTTATACATTCTTAAAATGTTTGGATGTCTAGGGAGACCAAAGATGGGGAGGGGGGGGGAAGAAAGGTACAAACTGTGATTGGTAGTCCAAAAGGGCTTATTAAGAAAACTGACTTTGGAAAGGAAGGTTGATATGACACTCCTGTTCTAAGGATAGGCCACAAAAATTAGAGGACGATCTGAAAAAAATCCACTCTCAACTCAAGGAAGGGGACAAACTACTTTTTATTTTAGGACTATATAATCCAAAAGGCATGTGTAGTAGCACAGAAGGCTCTTCTCCTGGACTGCCACCTGCCAGAATACCCTGGCCAATGGAGCCTGCATGAATTTGGAATCTTCAGTAGGTCCATGAAGTACCATTTTTTAAAAGGAAGTTTTGCTTCAAAGCAGCTAAGTGGCACTTCACTTCAGAGCAGCTACACTGCTTTGTTCTGAATACTCATGGAAACTTTCGTGCTGAAACAGAGTAGTGATAGAATAAAGAAACCATCCAGATCTTGAGGCAATGTCAAAACTATTCTGCACAGATCTCAATGTGTATCTTTTCAATGTTTGGGAATATTGACTATCTTGCTCCAAAAGAATGGTGAGCAGTGGATTTTTGCTGTATGCTAAAACATTACGCTGTGGCCTACATTAGTATTTCAAGTCGCTGTTTCTAAATCCCTATTTTCCAATGATCTAATTCCAAAGTGGAAAGCTAAAGAGACATTAGGACAAGGGTAATTCCATCCAACTAAGCACTCAACATTCATCCCATGTCATTCCAGCTGGGTTACCTGAGGTGACTTAGGATTTCTATCTCTCTTCGAAGCTGATGTTCCAGCTGAGCTTTCTCCAAGACAGACTTGAATATGACTTTTAAAGCCAAGATGAAGTGGGTCTTTTTCTCTCTGGCCAAGTAGACTGCTCCAAATCTCCCTTTCCCGAGAGGTTTGCCGAATTCGAAGTCTCCTGTGCCCCATATTTTCCTGTAACCCAGTGGTGAACATGAAAACTGATAATGCTTTCTTTACTAACCAGTTAGATATGATCAACCTTGGCAAGGGCTGTTCCTCACAGTTCTATTAACTATCTACCTTACTGATCTTTGTTTCATCATACTTTGAGTTAGTTTACATATTTATAGAATTAAAGAGTTAGAAGGAAACTAAGAGGTCATGAAGTCCAACTCCCTGCACACTATGCTATGCCTGTCAGATGATTATTCAGCCTCTGGTTGAAAATCTCCAGTGAAAATGAAGGGACTACTCTGTGTGAGTAACCTGTTCCATTGGTGACGGTTCTTACTATGAAGAAGATCTTGCAAGTGTCTTATCTGTTTCTACATCCTTAAAGGGTTCCCTCTCCCCTTGATTTGAATCTCAGCTTCTGGAACAAATGAGAATAAATCTGGGCTCTCTATCATGTGATAACTTTGACATATCCGAAGAGGTTATTATGTCCCCTCTCATCTTTCTTCAAGCTAAACCTATCTAGATCTTTCAACCACTCCTTGTAGAACTTAGTTTCCAGTCTTTTCATCAACTTGGCAGCCTTTCTCTGGACTTTGGTTGCAGGATGGTAATGGGAAAACTGACCAAGATGGAACTATGTATATATGTATTGTATGGAGGAGATCAGACATAATTATTAACTATATATGATTGTTAGTTGTCTTACAGGTAAAATGAAGAAATAAAAATGAAATTGTATTTCCTTGTACACATGTTTACTTGAACAGTTTCAAGATAAGATACATTTGCCCAATTTTCCTAGAGAGATTTAAAAAGAAAAAGAAAAGAAACACGAGATATTTTAGGGAGGCTGTACTTGTACTGGGGATAGTGGCTGGGGAATCCTGGGAGTTGAAATCCATAAATTGTGAAATTGCCAAGATTGAGAAACACTGATGAACAGTAGATGAACAGTAGTTTACAATATGGTATTATTAAAAACACACTGTGCTGGTAAGGCAAATAAGTGAGGAAATGGCCTAAGTAATCTTTATTATGGTGGTGGGGGAGGACCAATAATAAAAAGGCATGGGCACGCCAAATAATATGATGTGGATTAATTGTGGGCCAAATGGAATACTGAATATGAAGTAGCCTGAAAAAGAACTTTATTGAAAGGAACCAATTGACCTGCAAAGAAACAATTGGTAGCTCAAGAATGAAAAGGAAGCATAAAACATCTGTACTATACAAAGGCACATTTTCCAGTCAAAAACAAAACTCCTCTAAAATATGGATGCTCCTTCATGCAAGATTTGTTTTCCTACCTGCAGAATTCCTTAATAGTTACCTGGGAAGTTGAGAATCAGGGGCATCGTTGGGACTTGCTTTTGATTCATTTTTCTCCCCTGCCAAACAAATTTGCATGGATTTAGGGACACAGCAATCTTTGTTATCTAAAAAGCTTTTGCTTGTAATAATAATTATATTAGAGGTCTACTCAAAAGCCTTTCTGCTTTAGCATACCCTAACCTCAGTAAGCCCAGATTGGCAGGATATTTCCTCAAATATATGGCAGTATCATTGCATATGACATCCAAGAGCAGTGCCGATATGATCATAGTCCTCGTGATAATTGATAGCTGCATATTCTCCATAGATTTATCTAGTCCTCCTTTAAAGTTCATAGCTAGGTGGCTATTAGTATCTCTATCTTGAATGATCTTTCATTCAAACACACTGGATATTCTCCTGTATTCTAGTATTAAGAGAAAGTGTTTATATGGACGGCTGCACATTTTTTATGTATTAGGATGAATAGAACCACAAGAGTATAAGAACATGATTGAACAGTGAAATGAAAGATCAAATACCAAAATAAAAGCTCAATACACTGAAATGGAGGGCAGATGAGAAGAAGACAGTATGAAAAAATATAAAAGAAGGAAGCAAAAAGGACACTAATTTTAACATTTGTATAACTATTGCTCAAGACATAACCGATATATTTTCTTTCTATTAATCAAAGTTATTAGAGGCAATAATTATTTCATAAGAGGGACTATGTATTAATATACTTCAATACAATAAATTACCTAAATCTGATTAAATTATCACATGATACCAGTAGTAACATACCCATTGATTTTTCTTTGTCTTTTAGGAGATTCTTGAATTTTGGAGACAATCCTCCCTGAATCCTACAAATGGAGAAAAAAGAACTACTGAGCTCCTTGTGTCTTTGTAGCTTCTCAATCATCCAGGTCATGGTTGTCTCAAAGGTGCTTTTTCAGAGGCAAGTGGACTTTCTGTTTTTTCTTTGAAAACATTTCGTTTCTCATCCAAGAAGCTTCTTCAGTTCTGTCTGGCTGGTGGGCAGGGGAAGGATTTATGAAATTAATTTAGAAAATTTAATCCTCCCATTTCACAACATCAAACCAGAGTTGCAAAGAAGCTTCTTGGATGAGAAGCGAAACGTCTTCAGAGAAAAACCAAAAAGTCCACTTTGCCTCTTGAAAAAGCACCTTCAGGACTACTGAGCTACTTCTTCGTTGCATAGCAGAATGAGCGGTTTAGTAGCACATGACTGGGCAAGCAATGCAAGCAGTGGTGGCATTCAAATTTTTTTCCTACCGGTTCTGTGGGCATGGCTTGGTGGGCGTGGTGTGGCTTAGTGAGTGTGGCTTGGTGGGTGTGGCAGGGGAAGGATACTGCAAAATCTCTATTCCCCCTCTACCCCACTAACCTGCTCTCCAGCTCCATCCTCCTGTGCAGAGCAACAAAAGAAGACCCAGCTGGGACTCGGGAGGCAGTGAATAGATGGGGGTGGGGTCAGTTAGAGGTGGTATTTGCCGGTTCTCAGAACTACTCTAAATTTCCAAACCTGCTGAATATACCACCTCTGAATCCAAGAGACATTTATATAACCACCTAATAGTTGACAGCAAGAACTTTAGTAGTTCGTCATTAGGGAAAGAAGAAAACCAAACTTGAAGAACAAAAAAATATAGATTTTACTTAAGTTTAGTTGCAGAAAGTAAAAAGAAGATGTAAAGAGTCTAAAGTGCACCCCTGTTCAAAACCCTACAATTTGGGGTCTAAAGCAGGGGTGGTATTTCCAGTCAAAAAGCAAAATTCCTCTAAAATATGGAGGCTCCTTCATGCAACATTTGTTTTCCTACCTGCAGAATTCCTTAATAGTTACCTGGGAAGTTGAGAATCAGGGACATAGTTCATACTTGCTTTTGATCCTCCCCTGCCAAACAAATTTGCATGGATTTAGGGACATGGCAATCTTTGTTATCTATAAAGCTTTTGCTTGTAATAGTCAGTAATTATATTAGAGGTCTACTTTGGTTCCAGTCAAAAGCCTTTCTGCTTTAGCATACCCTAACCTCAGTAACTCCAGATTGGCAGGATAATTCCTCAAATATATGGCAGTATCACTTGCATTTGACATCCAAGAGCAGTGCTGATATGATCATAGTCCTCGTGATAATTGATAGCTGCATATTCTCCATAGCTTTAACTAGTCCTCCTTTAAAGCTCATAGCTAGATAGCTATTAGTATCTTTATCTGGAATGATCTTTCATTCAAACACACTGGATACTCTCCTGTATTCTAGTACCGTGTTTCTCACAAAATAAGGCCAGGCCTTATTTTTTTTTGACACCCCCCTCCAAAATGGCTAGGCCTTCTTTTCGGGGGTGACTTAATTCCCCCCCTTGCATCCTCAGGTGGCGACAGCTTGGATGTTGACCTCGGCGTTAGTGGGGCACTTCGTATCGGGAGACCTTCCACCACCATTGCTTTCCCTTCTCCCCGTGCTGCCGCGGCATTTAGAGCAATGCCGCAGCATTTGGCACAGCCACGCGCGGCCAGCCAGGGCTCCTCCCTGCAACCAGAGCCCGGCGGAGACACTCAGCTTCAGGTGCTCCTGTCGCTACCTTCCCTTTGCCTTTGAAGGCAAAGCCAATTCTTTTAAAAATGACGCTCTACTACTGGTATGACAAAGCCTCCTCTGCCCGTGAGGGCAGCCCAACCCCATGTGGGGAGGTGAATCTCCCAGGGCCACAGTGCAGGATCGGCCCACCCCAGGAGAAGCGCCCAGCCACCATCCCTGCCTGGTGCCGGGCAGAGCGTGAAGAGCTTCGCCTGGGGTGCCGAGCGCAGCTGACAGGTGGGCCCTCTTGCCTGGCGGTGGAGCTCTCACCAAGGCAGCAAGTGCCTCCATGCCGGGCCCTCTGCTCATCCCACCAGGGCCGCACCAGAGCTGTGCGGTCTGGGCAGAGCCAGGAAAGCAAGCCACAGGTGTGTGCCCGCCTGCCAAGTGAAAGAGCCAGGCCGACCCGAGCTTGGCTTCCTTCCCAAGTCCCTCCAGCCTGAACCCGAAGGGGCCACCAAGAGAGGCTGCCCGAGGCAGTGATAGCGCCCACACATCCGTGGACAGGGAGACAAGGCAACAGCCTGCACCATGTCCTCTTCCAAGCTGTGCCCTGTTAGGAATATGAGTCACCTAACAGCTATTTGGGTTAGAAATATATAAACTAGGATAAACATTTTAAAACTGTATCTTTAAGAAAATGCAAAACTGTAATTAGGTGTGGTTTCTCAAACGGCCATAAGATGGAGCCAGAAACCTGGGTTGTTTAGTCTTAGTCTCAGAAGAGAGTGTGAGTCAGTCTCTGTTTCCTTCTGTTGGAGAGTATTGCCGTTCCTCCATTTTTCCTAATTGACTGATATTCATGGATTTGATGTAAGTCTAATACTGAACTGTTTTTGACACTGGACTTTCTAATTGGATTATCCCTGGATTGAAACTTGACTGATTTACCTGTGAATGACTTTTGGACTGCTTATTTTGAACTTTGCTTAAACCTTTATTGAAAGTAAAACCCTACATTTACAGTAGAGTGTATCTGTGTGCTGTGTGTGTATTATTAAAACACTACTCTCAATACATCTCCCTGTATGTGCTCATTCTCCTAATGGGGAGTTACCTCAACATTGGTTATGGGCCCAGGCCATACCAGGCTCAGATAACTGAGAGTTAGTGTGAATACACAGTCCTGTATACAGACATCTGTTTACTGTTTAATTGTAGGTTACTATCCTGGTAAAGATGGCACAAATCACTTCAACAAGTCTATCACTGATAACTCGGTTGGATGGAACAAACTATGTTTCCTGGTCTATGAAGTGCAGTCTACTTCTGTGTAGAGAAGGTTTATGGAATGTAGTTCAAGACCCACTGGATGTAAATGCTTGGTATCCAAATAATGAGGACGATGCCAAGAAGCTTACTGACTTTAAACAGAACAATAAACGAGCTCTTTGTATAATTGGACTAACACTGAGTGACCAGCAGTTAGTCCATATTTGTGGAGAAGAGTCTGCTGCTAAGTGTTGGGAGAATTTGAAGAGGATTTATGTTCGTGACAGTGTAGGTGCACACATACATCTTACACGTAAACTGTTTAGAGCACGTCTTCTGAAAGGTGGAGATATGTTAGCTCATTTAAACTTCATTAAAAGAATTTTTCAAGAGCTACATGAAAAAGAACTAATATTTTCAGAGCTGCATCATATTTACATCATTCTTTCCTCATTGGATAAAAGTTATGATGATTATGTATCTTCACTGGAAGTCCTGCCCAGAGATAAACTGACATTGACTGACATAACTGGAAGGTTGTTAGAAGAAGCAAGAAGACGACTGGATAGGGACCAACTGAGGAAGGAACAACCGCAAGAAGAGAATTTGTCTTCAACTGCCTATAATGTTAGGAAATGTTTTTCTTGTGGGGCTAGGGGACATATAGCTAGATTCTGTAAAGAAGGGAAAACAACACAATACTGGTAATCACCAGAAGGCCAAGAAGAATGTTAGTTTAGCTATGTCTAGCAATTCAACTGTAAACCATGATTTGTGGGTTGTTGATAGTGGAGCATCACAATGCATTACTAAAGATAGAAAAAGGTTTGTAAAGATGTCTACGAGTAAACAACAAGTATCATTGGCAAATGGATGGAAGATTAAAGCATCAAGTGAAGGTACTGCATATTGTTCTTGTATAAATGAACATTTAACTATGTTATATGTACCTAAACTGAAATTTAATTTGTTATCAGTAAGGGCTTTAGTTAAGATTGGTTATGTAGTAACCTTTAGGGGAGATAACTGTATAATAGAGAAAGAGGGTAAAAGTGTTACTGCTACTTTAAAAAAATGATTTATATGTGATACATGATGACCAGTTGAAGATGGCTAACTCAGTTTATAACAATATTAAGCCACATGATGAATGTATATATTTACTACATAGACATCTAGGGCACATTAATTTCAAAATGCTCAAACAAACTGTCGAATTGTCAGAGGGAGTAAAATTGAAACCCTGTAGCAAATATTTAAACTGTAATGCTTGTAGCCAGGAGAAAAGTCTGGCTACTTCAGCAAACTGACTCAATGGGTTTAAGACCAAAGAACCTTTAGAGGTTGTGTTTGTTGACATAATTGGTCCTAAAAAACCAAGTTTAGGAGGTGCCTGCTATATTTTGAGTATTATGGACCATTGCTCACGATATGGTTTCTGCTGTCTTATGAAAAACAAAACAAAAACATTCCATCATTTCTTTAACTGGCTAATGCAGGCAGCACCATATCCGGGTATGCAACAAAAGTACTTCCTAATGGCAAGCCCCCCCCGCCATTCCCCCCATTTTGCATGTTTAATATAGGCCTTAATTTGGGAGGAGGGGCTTAATTTGATTTTATGCCTATAAAACATGCTGGTACTTCCTATT